GAGCAGTATGGAAACACAGATATGGCAAATTTAAATTATTTTCTACAGGAAACTGCTTTTAGCTTGAACCTAGACAAAGAAAGACAATAAAACTGTATTTCTAAAAAAAAAACTGAACTCACAAATCTGGATTACAGGTTGACTTAATGCAGGTTCATGTCAAGTTATTTACACTCAGATTGGTAACCTTGACCAGTTTACTTCTCAAGGTGGCAGGTCAAGGTTGTTAGTCTTTAACAGAGGAATGAATACTTTCTAGCGGAAAGAAAGGAAGCATAGAGGTCATCATCATAGATGCATGGGGACCGTGTGATGAAGTGCACCCTGGATACAATGAAGCACATGTGGTGAGCACATATTTCACTCATGCAAAGAAACAACGAAGATCTCAAGTCATAATCTTTGCCCTGGCTTCCTTCTATTGAATGTTTATTTGACTAATCAAAGGACCAGAGCAAATCAAAGGTAATGCGAATTGCTGCTGAGTGCCTGATAAAAGAAGATGGACTATGATCGATAATTTATCCAGAAAACCTTATGTAGAAATCCGTGTCATGGCTGTAAGCACAGTCGAAGAGGAATTTCTTCAGGCAGGACTTGAGAAAGGAGAGGGGGCAAGGCGGAGGGATTGAGGGAAAGTTTTCAAAAGTTTTGGGGCATAGTGGCAGAAAGTGAGACCTCCGATGGTGGGGTATAGGGTACGAGGAACGAGGAGGAGGCTGGTGCTAGTCAAGCAGAGGCGCTGGGTGGTGGGTTGGGGAGTGAGGAGGTTGGAGAGGTAGGGAGGTGCCAGAGAGTGAAGGGATTTGAAGTGTGAGGATCTTGAAGTTAGCTGATCTCAGCTGTGGTGTCCTAATTGGCCTTGATTTCTTGGGTAGGAAATCAAGACAGGATTCCCCATCCAGATTGCTGTGAGGAGATCTCTACTGCAAGGTGTACATGGTGAGGACAGAGATTAGGCTCAGTGGTTAGAGCACTCGCTTTACAAGCGAGAGACCTGAGTTCAATTCCAGGCAGAGGGCGAAACCTTGGGCAAGTTTCCTTACTCCACACAGAGCCTAATAATAATCCCTCCAAAACCAAAAACAATAATAAATTGGTCATTTTCAATCCACGACTGTTTGTGGGACATTGCTGTGCGCAATTGGCTGCCGCGTTCGCCCACAAATATACAGTCAATTCACTTTACAGTATATTCTGTGAAGCGCTTTGGGACGTCCTCCCGACGTGAAAAGCGCTATAACAAATGCAAGGATTATTATTATTATTAACAGTGGCTTCTATCTGTCCTGGTCTGAGCAAAGGAGCAGGTGACTCAGATTGATTTCCATTGGCTTGCTAAGTACAGGAGTGTGCACTACCTTCATGAAACAACTACTAATCCGTTTTCAATTAAACATTTTGTAACCGTTTTGTAGCATTAAAAAAAGGCATTAAAGGTCTAATGTTGACATCAGTGCCCAGCAATCTGACATTTGATCTGATGACTAAGCGAGAGATAAAATATAGTAAATAGTGAATGAATCAGCCAAGGTCATTCTACATCTCCACTGCAGGCCATCTTTAGAGAAATGCTGCTGGCTTATCCTCTCAAATGGGGAATGAAAGAGTGGATTTTGAAAGAGGTGTCTGGGCACTTTGCTTTTCCAGCCTCTTTGTTACCAATTTATTTACATTCCCTCCCCTCACCCTGACCATTTCCCCCCTCCTCTCTCCCTCCCTTCCCTCCCCTCACCCTGACCATTTCCCCCTGCTCGGGTCATGACCCAACTGTGCAGCGCCTTGGGACGTCCTCCTGACGTGAAAGGCGCTCTATAAATGGAATCTTGTTGTTGTTGTTGTTGTTACAGTCAATGGACTCGTCTCACACACCGTTTACTCTTGTTTTTTAAAAAAATTACTTCAAATCAGTAAAAGAACAATTGTTTACAATTTCACAATTTGCAAAGCTTGGGGACAAAACATTCTTGCGGAAAGTAATACTACTAATAATCCTCGCAATTGATAATAGCACCCATCTCAGTCGCTTCACAGGATTTGCTATAAAGTCTAGTGGCTGTCTGAACACAGCAGCGCCTTGGGATGTCCTCCCAACGTGAAATGCACTGTACAAATGTAATCTTATTGTTGTAATTAGGACTGGAAGAAGGAATGTCTCACATTGAAAGGTGCTTCCTTTTGTCTGGACAACTTTGCCTGGGCTATGGCTTTAATTGTGCTGATGGTGGAAAAAAAAGCATAGTTTTAAAAATTGGATAATTTATTAATAAGCAGTAAACAGGCATGAATGTAGCTGGCATCAAAGATTAAATAATGGTTCCATTGATGGAATACAAATACAGTAGCAATGGCAAAGAGAGCCTTCTGCAGGCCACAAACACAAATAACATCTGTTCAATGGCTGTAGTGTACATACGGATAAAAGTTAATTCATTTGTTTTGTTGAAACTTGCAACATCTTAGCACTTCATAACCTGTTTATTGGTAATATTCTGATATTTGACAATTCAGTGTTAATTAAAATTAGATTTATTTTAGAAAATAATATTTTGGGTTACAGTCAGCATATGAATAATTTGGGACATGACATATAAGTGTAGTATGGCTTGGAAGAACCAGGCAACTTTGTATGTAAGGTTCCCAAAGCTTTCCACTGTGTTGTAGACTAAGCTATACAGAATTAATTGCTGTCAACATTAACAACATCATTACTGTAGCAAGCGACTATTTGGATGATAGAAGGTGGTCTAGATGGACCTTGGTTTTTTTTTGTTTTGCAATTCCTATGTTGCTGATTGCGCTGATACGACAGGAAATGTTTTTTTCTCTTGGCATTCTTAAAGATACACTGTTTTTATTTCCAGTTCTATAATCCTTATTCAATCAGAGTAAAAAGGATACTTCCCTTCAAGTTAGAAAATATGAAATAACGGCAGCAATCTGTCAATGGATGGGAGCAGCCAATGAAGAGAGCCGTCATAAGGCTTGGTGTTTGATCTCACCAATGTGCAGTAGGAGTTGCTATCCGGCATGAAGGGTCCTGTATAAAAACATCTTGTTGCTGAAAGAATGTAAGTTTCCTGCCGTTTTATTTTACATGTTTTGTGATATTGTTAGTCGATTGGAGAATCATTTTCTGGGGGTTATAATCCCTTCAAAGAAAATTATAATTTTGTCACTAAAACTGATTGTTTGTGGGATACTGCTGTGCCCAATTAGCTACTGAGTTTCGCCCTCAAAATACACAGTCACTCAACTTTACAAAATATTTTGTGTAACTCTTTGAGACTTTGCGACGACATGATAAGGTGCTATGTCAAATGCAAGGTTTATTATTATTATTATTGCCTCCTGGGTGACGATCTCCCCCCACCCCCAAGACACTCAAATCTCTAAAGCAATTCTGAATAGCATTTCGCTAAGTTCTGTTAAATTGTAAACCTACACAATAAATGCAACAATAGCAATTTCATAGTAAAATAAGGAAACAAGTAAAGGTCATTTGACCTATGAAGCCCACTTGTTACACAGATTAGCTATAGTTTAACTCGACCCGACACCTCTTTCTATTAGAACAAATGTAGAGCGTCCAATTACGTTTCTAATTTTTCCTCATTGGGCTCTGCTTCTGTTCCAGGTTCCCAGCATCCTCTTGCAGGCCTCCAAGAGTGATGGGTGCAACATCTATCCATCACCACAGAAAATATTGTCCACCATGCAACATTTGATCATCCTAGTCTATACTTATCACTATAACCTTGAATCCTATTTATAACCAAATATTTATCCAACGATATTGAACCAAAGTCCCCATAAACTGCTTATAGAATATACACAGAGAAAACAGATCCATTATACAGTTCTTTATTTCAGCAAGTACCAAGATGGCTTTAGACATCAAAACAAGGAAAGAAAACTTAACATTTGCCATTACAATCTTTCTAAATTCATAAAGAAGTTTAATTAATGGAAAACAATTTAAGGTGTTTTTATGTGCAAAACACTCACTGTGCTCCTCCCCATTCTCTGATTCCTGGTACTAATTAAATTTCACACAAGTCATTAATTGCTTGAGAGAGATCGCTCAACTACCAAATCGTGGTAGTTGAGAGTCTGAGTTTGTTATTCGTCATTCAGCTCCGTGCTTGAAACGTACGCAGAAAATAGATCTTCCTCTTGTAAGTTCACTGGCATAAATGATTTAATGAGATCTTATTAAATTAAATAATCCATGGTGGCATTTGTTGCTGGCGCATTCAGATAAATTTGGATTCTTGGAAATCTCTTGCTGTGAGTTAGACATTCATAAAACATTAATGTGGAGCTTAGTGGAGAAAGCCTTCCTCAGAGCCAGGAAACTGGGGTGTACGTTTAAGTTCACTAAGTGCCAGGGAAAACAAAAAGCATTCACTTTTTCATGTTATTTTTTGAAAAAACAAGTAAATAGGACATCACAAATGGATAGTATCCCCAACACTGCAGGGAGATGCCCAAAAGACCGCGTGGGAAACAGCAGCTAAAGTACAATGGAAATCGGTCCAGCCGGCTTGGTGTCAGCTTGGCCCAGGAGGAGCACTTTAGCCTATGAGTCAGCAGGTTATGGTTTCTCGCTCCACCTCACATCAAGACTTGAGCTCAAGCCTCGGCTGACATTCCGATGCAGCGCTGCATTGATGGAGTTGCCGTCCTTTGGATGGGACGTTAACGTTAGGTTCTCTCTGCCTTTTGGGCAGATATTAATGATTCAATTAATCACCAGTAAAATGCACAGCCATTACAGTCTACAATAAACCTGTGAAGGGCTGAACTCCTTTGATGTGAAACAGCATGGCATGAACTGCAAGGATTATTATTCATTATTATCAGATTTATTTTATTAATGTAGCATTTCAGATTGGTTGGCAAAATTGTTTAAATCAGTTAACTTTTGCCCACAAAATATACAGTCAATTCGCTTTGCAGTATACAGAAGTGCTTTGAGACGTCTCGGAAGAAATGGTAAGTTGCTACATCAAATGCAAGGATTATTATTATTGTTTATTATTAACTTTGAAGCCTGTTACCCTATATAAAAGATGCTATATAAACTCTCCGAAGATGACAGCCAATCCTCCTTTAATGGAATTGGTGCCGGATTAGTATTCAGTCTTCTGATTGGTGAGTACCACAACATGCTGTTCAGTGCAAAGCACAAGATGCTTTACTTACCAATCAGACGCAGTATATGGGAGGAAAGGTTACAGAAGGTCAATGTGCCATTTTTGTCATCTGGTATCTGTTACTGCAAAGACCAGAGGTGAGTGGCAGAGGTGAGACAGAGCACATCACAAAATGTGTTTCTAAAATTTTTTTTTACTCTGTGCAAAATATCCAATTAAGAGATGGAATTGTGGTGCAAAAGTTTAATAGAAATTGACATCACAAAGAAGGGGATAATTTTGGATTTAGAGGGGAATCTAAAACAGGATAACTGGGAGGAAAGTGCCACATTTCTTTGAACAATAAATATTTGTGGATGCTATGAAATAATACTAATCCTTGCATTTGTTATAATACTTTTTACATCGGGAGGACATCTCAAAACAGTTTGCAGGATTTTACTGTGAAGTGTGACTGTATTTTGTACGTGTGAACTTTAAAAGTCATTCAAACATTCTTCGGCAATTTAAGCTTCAGTGATGATGCATGCGTAAAAAATTGTTTGAAACTCAATAAAGTAATTTTATAAAATTAATGCAATTTATTTGAACTAACAGATGTTAATTGAGTTTGGATGAAGTGAAGAATAAACATTCTAAGTCAGTCATTGTGGAGGGCAAGTTTAGAATGGATGCCCGGATGTGTTTCTTTACATTGAGCAACAGCTGGAACTAACTACCTTAATGAGGCTAGAGACCAATTGTTTGTGTTATATACAGTTATAATAACAATAATAATCCCTACATTTCATATAGTGACATCACATCTTCGAGACTCTTAAAGCGCTTCAAAGGATTTACTGTAAAGTTAATTGACTTTATTTTGTGGGCGAAACACGGCAGCCAATTGCGCACAGGAGTGTCCCCACAAATAGTTGTGGATACAGTGACCATACAGTGTTATATACAATATATTGAAGCTTGATTGGAAAGGATTGCCTGCATGGAGGTGTGAAACTCGCTGCTGTATAGATCCGGTACATTGCAGGATAAACAAGCAATGCAAACACAGAGCACTGCTGGATAAACTGCAAATCCACACAGGTCTTATTTTGCGTGGTGCATCAAAAGCTTTTAGTCTGTCCATGTAATCTTTAGTGGGGGGTGTTAAATGCTAAAAGACTCATGGCTAGCAGCTGTGTAAATGAAGGATTTGTGTCCTGCAAATTAATTTTTCAAACTTAGAGCGCCACACTGTGGAAATGATGCGTAACTCTATTTGGAAAAGATTGTTGACAAAAATCAAATATGAATGATGTGTTTAAACCAAAGGTTGTCACGAAGCATTGATAATTAAAATGGTTTGAAATGAGCAAATAAGTCAAATAAATAATAACATACTAATTTTCAGTGACATCCAGGAGAAACTCCCTTCTTTTCCAAAAACACAGTTGCAGGATTGCAGGACACCCACCTAAACATGATTTTGGTTCAACATCTCATCTGAAGGACAGCATGAAGTATTGCGTTGAAGTGTCATCCAGAATGATGCCTGAATCCACAACCTTCTGACCTGGATGATAGTGTGTTACCAACTGAGCCAGCCTGACACCTCATCTGCTGCCAACATAAAACCATGCAGTTGCTGGTGGCCAGACACCAAACAGTGTCTCAGATTGTATTTGTGTGAGCTTGTATGAGAGTCATGGAAGTGAAGCTGAATTATTTGGGTCATAATCGGATTATATCTGCAGCACTTTGGCTCTGATATACAGCCGAATTAATAGAGGGGAGATCCGGTCTGGCAAGCTGGACTTCCTGGCCAATTTTATTAATTACGATGCCCAGAGGAACATGAGAACATAAGAATTGCTAGATGGAAAAAAGACCAAGGTCCATCTAGTTCACCTACTGTGCTGATAGTCGGATGCTCGTATAATGGAAGACATCGATAGCAATTAATTATGTGTGCCATTCCCTCTGTGAACCCCTCTAATAGGGTTTCCATACTGCCCCAAGAGATAGTTTTGCCCACAGCATGGAAATAGCCCAAGTCAAAGTCACTAATGATATTCTGTCCATCTGCTCTCTTTGCCTCCTTGTCCTCCTCAATCTCTCTGCTGCCATTCTATCCTCCTCCACTGTATGCCATTCCCTCTGTGAACCCCTCTAATAGGGTTTCCATGCTGCCCCCAAGCTCAACCTTGATGGACCCATCCTTGCCTGGTTCAAACCATACCTCTCCCACCATTTCCGCTTTGTCTCCACTAATGGCTTCTCCTCCAGCCCCTGCACCGTTACGTGTGGTGTCCCTCTGGGCTCTGTCCTCAGTCCCCTCCTTTGCAACATTTACATGCTCCCTCTTGGTGACATCAACCGTAGACATGAGATAAACTTGTATGCAGATGACACCCAACTCTACCTTTGTGCCTCCACCCTTGACTCCAGGACCACTGCTGTTCTCACAGACTGTCAGACATCAACTCCTGGATGAAAGCTCACTGTCAGCAGTTGAATGTCAACACGGTCGAGGCCCTCCTGCTTGGATCCCGTCAGCACCTCCATACCTCAGACACCGGCAGCATCACCCTTAATGGATGCACTCTACACCTCATGGAGCCAATACGGAATCTCAGTGTCCTGTTCGACCCTCAACTATCCTTCAACCCCCACATCCATGCCATAACATGCTCAGCATTTTCTCCACCTCAAACTTTACCCGCCTTCGCCAATGTCTCTCACTGTAGCCCGCCGGGATCCTCTTCCACACATTCATCACATCCAGGCTCGACTACGCAAATTCTCTGCTTGTCAGCCTCCATGTCAACCTTGTCTGCTTCCCTCCAAAGGGCTTACAAGTTTAATGTTAAACAACAGATGTATTTCAAAATGTAGAGTATTGGAATCAAAGTTTTGTTACAACGGTATAGTTGATCAATCTATACAAATTGTAAAGGATAGCTTCAGGATTCTCTGATTTCTTGCTTCCAACGATTGCTAGAAATGCTCCTTTGTTATCTACTATTTTTGTCCACTACAGAACCCTGAAAACAGAATGATCTCATATCCTTAATCACAAGGTTCCTGGTACCAAGAAGACACCAAAGAATGAGCATTTTGACTATCCATTTTGGCTATGTAATGTAAAGTCCTGCAGCTCAGTGATTAGAGCACTTCCCTCGCAAGCGAGTGACCTGGATTCTAATCCCGCAGGGCGAGACCTTGGGCCAGTTTCCTTTCTGTTAATAATCCTTCGAGAAAAAAGAAACAAAACAAAATGATAATCTTTTACTAATTTACTTTTACTGATGCTGTTCGGCGTGGAGGGCGCTATATAACTTATTGAAACATATAAGATTCTTAAAGGGCTGGATAAAGTAGACACTGAGGGTCTGTTTCCCCCGGTAGGAGAATCTATAACCAGGGGTCACAGTCTTAAAATTAAGGGTCAGCCTTTTAGAACAGAGTTGAAACATTTCTTCACTCAGAGGGTAGTGAATTTATAGAATTCACTCCCCCATAAGGCTGTAGATGCTCAATCCTTGAACATCTTCAAGGCTGAGACTGATAATTTTTTTTAAAAATAGAGTGATTAGAGGATTTGGGGAAAGGGCAGGTAATTAGAGTTAGGTCTGAAGATCAGCCATGATCTTATCGAATGGCGGGGCAGCTCGAGGGGCCGAATGGCCTACTCCTGCTCCTAATTCTTATGTTTTATGTTCTTATAAATCCAAGTTGTTGTTGTAATTGGGTACTGGTACTAAATCTTACTAATAGATACTGGTTTCTCGCTCTCTCTGTAACACACATTCCTTTGGTAACACATTTGCAAATGTGTACAAGATTTTATATGTTGCAGCTGGTCAGTAATTGGCATTCCCATCCCACAAAGGATACAGTTCAAGATCCTGGTCCTCACCTTCAAAGCCATCCATGGCCTCCCTACCTCTAATCTCCTAACCCCCCACCAAACTCTCTGCTCAGTGGGCTCCGGGAACCTGCTTCACATCCCCCACTTTGTCCACCCCATCATTGGCGGGCGGGTCTTCGGCCTCTCGGCCTCCACCCTCTGGAACTTCATCCCACAGCCCTTCGACTCGTTCCTACCCTTGCCTCCTTCAAGACCCATCTCAAGACCCTCTTCTTCAACGGTACCTTCGGTCATGTTCCTTCACCTCCCTGCCCTCCACCCCTCCTGATCCCAACCACTAGCTCAGGTGCGGATCTCTGACTGTTCAGAGCCTTGGGATGTTCCCCCTGAGGTGAAAGACGTTGTACAAATGTAATTTGTTCTTGTTGTATGGATCAGTCTATAACAGAGTGGAAAGCTTTGGGAACCTTAGCTCCTGCACAAACAACTAAATAAGTTTTAACAACGCAACCATCAACTTAATAGACCTCGTATTGACAGGGGAGGTTCAGATGAAGAAGGCCCTTCAGTCCATTTGATCCCATCCAACTCGAACACCTAATTGATTGGATGAGCAAGTTGCTTCTTTGATACATGAATACATAGACACATAGACAGATAGACATAGAAACAGGAGTAGGCTATTCAGCCCCTTGAGCCTGTTCCACCATTTTATAAGATCATGACCGATCTATACGTTAAGTCCAGTTACCCACCTTTGCTCCATATCCCTTAATACGCTGACCTAACAAATATCTACCTCCATCTTGAAAATGTGATTGGATCCAGCATTCACCGCCTTTTGGGGGAGAGAGTTCCAGATTTCCTCAACTCTTTGGGTGAAAAACTCCGCCCTTTCCCAAAGTCATCTTTGTTCCTTTTTCACACACAGAGGAAAACCCGATGTGTTCTATCCGGTGACTGTCAGTACTTTCTCCGTTCGACATTGGTTTAATGTTCATTATTATTGTACTACAACTTCTATAGTCGAACAACAGTAAATTCTGGGCTTTTATTTGTTGGTTTGATGCTGATTTTGTGCAATTTGAGATTTGCGCACTTTTCCCGTTGTGTTCTAAGGTTTTATACAGACAGCCTCAGGTGTGCGCGCAGACGCTCCCCCCCGGCCCCACCCAAACTCGGGGCTGGGGTTTGAGACCCGGCGCCTTCCCCTGTGACGCCTCATCCTCCGGTAAGAAAAAACACATCATAATAAAACACCTTTGTTTATTATTTTTCGATGTTATAAACACCTCTTGTGTCAGTGGGAAACTACTACTCTTTTACAATTTTGATTTGTGTCAAAAAAATTAGAGGAAACATTGTAAATTGATCCTGAAAACTAGTGCAAAATGTTCCTAATTCTACATTAATCCCAGTCATATCCATGAAGTTTGGCATTGACTTTGTGTTAAAAACATAACCGCTCTCCGGGGCCACCGCCCCCAAACCCGTGAAACGGGTTTAAAGTGCAATAGTTTATTAAACTCAATCAGTGGTAAACAGGGGCGGGGACGGTATCACGTGAGGGGCGGGTTTCGTGACGAGGCAGGATTTCAGTCTGTGGACCGTATTTGGGAATTAAAGCGAGGCCGTCGCCCTCTTAAAGGCAGGAGCGAAGGTGTATGGGGCATGTGGGGTGTAGACCGCCCCACTCACATGCACAGCCCACACTCCACAGACAGACCCCACACACACAGACTCCCACCCACAAACAGAGCCCCAACCCAGTAGATAAAAACAATAGAGAGGAAAGATTTTAAATCAGAAAAGCAGGAAGTAGTCAGTATGTGTAGAGATACATAACAAGGGGCAGAAACCTTGAGTGGGAGTAGTTTGTAGACCCCCGAACAGCAGTCACAGTATCTCTCAAGGTATAAATCAGGAAATTCGCAGAGCTGTAGTAAAGGAAAAACATCAATTGTGGGCGATTTTAATCTGCACATAAATTGGGAAAAGTATTATAGAGGAAGAGTTTATAGAATGTATTAGGGATAATTATCTGGATCAGTGTGCCGGGGAGCCAAACAGGGTGAAACCTTGGGCAAGTTTCCTTACTCCACACATAAATTGGTCATTTTCAATCTACAACTGTTTGTGGGACATTGCTGTGCGCAATTGGCTGCCGCGTTCGCCCACAAATATACAGTCACTTCACTTTACAGTGTGTTCTGTGAAGCGCATTAGGACGTCCTCCCGACGTGAAAAGCGCTATATCAAATGCAAGGATTATTATTATTAGTGATCTTCATTTACTCTCTTACAGTAAACGGCCGATCAGTGTCCTCGGGCTCTGGGACTCCCAGCACATTCAGCTCCAGCAATGGCAAACGCTCACGAGCCGACCACGGGCAGAAATCAGAGGCCTACAAATCCATTTTCACCTCCCACAGCTCAGCAAAATGCTCAAAGGAGCAAAACTGGATCACTCACACTGCATACTACATCTGAAACAGCCAGAACCAGATACCATCACCGCCTACTTTAGTTAGTAAACCCAGGTGATTAAATTTCTTTCCTCCATGTGGACTTTTTCTCTAGGAGCTCTTCCTAATTCTGCCGAGACTCTTTAATCCTGGTGGTAATGAAAGTGAAAATGTTTAATTGGTGATGGGATCAGACTGAAGTGGTGAGACTTACCTCAGGTCCAGAGCTCACACTAATTATTGCTCAAACGTGCTTCCAATTGTCTACTGGTGGCTTTACTCTCATGAACTCTTCATTTTGCTTAATAAATCTCACAAAGGATTCTTCATTGTCATCTTCTATAGCAACACATCTGACAGCAGCTCACACATATGAGGAAATGATCAGCGAGACCCAGAGCACAATCATTCTGTCAGGAAAGCGGTGGTCCTGGGGTTGAGGCAGAAAGATAGGAGTTGGTTGTTACGCAGAGCAGAGCACCCCCACACAACTTTTTTGTAACTTAGGGTGCAGTTATTTGTGTTTTTTAGCAGCTGATTCACGCCACATCCTATGAACAACTTCTCAGTGAATAATCCACTGCACAGTGATGGCGGGCGGTGCTGCACTTTATTTTGTTCCACCAAGCGCTCTGCGACTGCCCTGTGTGAGGGGTGCTATATAAATGCAGGTTATTGTTACTCATTACATTTCAAAGTTTATTATTATTTTCCAGGTTGTAGCTGCTGCAGCTGAGCCCGGCTCGTCAATACTGTGTGAAACATCAATTATATTGAGATGTGGGATACGAACCGACTGTCTGCTTCTGTCCAGACCAGTTTAAACAAAATAAAACTCATTAATTTGGAGTCAGAACATGTCTGTCTGGGTGGGACCTGTGTCTAGGGGGGAGGCTATGGTTGGAGGCATGTCGCACGGATGTGGGGTAGAAAGGACGGTTGTGGGTTAAACAAGACGCCAAGGTTCTGGACCGACTCATTGAGCATCCCTGAATGGTGATGCTGACCTGAGCCAATCAGCACCCCCACCCCGCCCATACACACAACCCCCGTATAGCATCCTGTTAGTGTAGGGAAGGGTTAACCTGTAAATAAGGCACTCAGCAGGTAATATCAATGACATGATTGGCCACCAGACAATCTGGGCTATGGTGGCAGATGAGTTGCTGGAGGCTTGTGGTTCAGAGCAGTGTAATGGTCAGTTTGCGTGTGGTGGAGTGGCTCGGGCCGGTCTCTCTATGGACTATATAAGGTAAGTCTGTATTTGTGAGAACCTTCAGGTGGACTGTAAACTGCCTATAATGTTGATTCTCCTTAAAAAGTGGTGAAGGGAAAGTGTCCAAACCTTGGGGTGTTGTCTCCTGTGAACTTCAGAGACATTATCACTGTCCTTGATATAAATTGTGAGTAACTGTTGGCCAGTTTGGCTTTTCCTTTTATTGTATAACTTGTCTCAAAAACAATTGCTATTAAGTTGTTCCTATCTGGAGTCTGTAGACAACTCCCACCAGAGTCTTGCCTCCTTTGCTGTTCCTTAATTCTACCCATAGTGTTTCCACAGCCTGATCACCTTTACTAAAGTCGTGGAGTGCTGTAGCTCAGTGGTTAGAGCACTCACTTTGTAAGCGAGAGACCTGAGTTCAATTCCAGGCAGAGGGCGAAACCTTGGGCAAGTTTTTACTCCACACAGAGCCTAATAATAATCCCTCCAAAGCAAAAAATAATAAATTGGTCATTTTCAATCTATGACTGTTTGTGGGACATTGCTGTGTGCAATTGGCTGCTGCGTTTGCCCACAAATATACAGTCAGTTCACTTTACAGTATATTCTGAAGCACTTTGGTACGTCCTCCTGAAATGAAAAGCGCTATATCAAATGCAACAATTATTATTTCTATCTACTGCTGTACTTGAGTGTTATCCATATTGCTCCTGTCCTTCCTAAAGATCTTACAGCCTGGAATATTTAGCTCCCAGTAATTTCTGGCTTGTAGCCAGGACTCTAATGGCTACTACATCAGACCCTTTAAGCTGAATTTATGTTTCTAACAGGCTTTATTTTTNATGCTATATTTGTGGATAGACACCTAAGATAACTGCGCCCATATGGCCCAATGGTGTTTTGTCATTTGTTTATTTCCTAAACACCATTTCTCTTTCTGGAGAAATTGAGTTATTTGTCACTTTTGTTTTCCAATCTTTGCTCTTCTGTCTTTAGTTTACTGTTTCCACTTGAGTCAGAGGTTGTGAATGGATGTCCTCTCGACGTGAAAATAAATGTAATTTTGTTGTTGTCCTGGAACCAGTGCAGGTTTGTGTTGATCTTGAACGCTGGGCTAATGTTCGTTCATACCACATGAGAGCTGGATTTTCATACGTCAGTGAACTTTGGAGACCTTGTCCCCATCCATCTGTTTGGTGTAGATTGTGACCATTCTGGTCCAAGGTTCTCCCTATCACACTCTCTCTCTATTACAATCATTCTCCTCTTTTCTGTCACTATCTATCTCCTCTCTATTGCAATCTTTTTGCTTCTCTCTATCACACTTTCTATTGCAATCTTTCTTCTCTCTATTCCAATCTTTCTAACACACTTTATTGCATTCTTTCTCCTTCTCTCTATCATACTTTGACTCTCTAACACAATCTTTCTCCTCTCTTTCAGTTTGTCTTTTTCTATGACAATCTTTTTCCTTCTTTCTAATACACTTTCTCTCTATTGCAATCTTTGTCCTCTCTATCGTACGTTGTCTCTCTCTTAAAATCTTTATACTTCTTTCAAATACTTCCTTCTTTCTAACATACTTGCTCTCTCTATTGCAATCTTTCTCCTCTCTATTACAGTCTTCTCTATCGTAATCTTTCTAGCACACTTTCTCACACTATCGTACTTTGCCTCGGTATATTACAATCTTTCTCCTCTTTATCAGACTTTCTCTATCACACTTTTTCTGTATTGCAATCTTTCTCCTTCTCTATCACACTTTCTCTCTATTGCATTCTTTCACACTTTCCCTCTATTCCAAACTTTCTCCTCTCTATTACAACCTTTTCCGTCTCTGTCATACTTTCTCTCAATCAGAATGTTTCTCCTCTCTGTCACACTTTCTCTCTCTATTTCAAAATTTTCCCTCTCTATCACTCTTTTTATCAGAATCTTTCTCTATCACACTTTGTCTCCGTTGCAATCTTCCTCCTCTCTATTCCAATCTGTCTCTCGCCCAATTTTCCTCTTCTCACATTTCTTCTTTATCGCAATTTTTCTGCTTCTCTCTATCCATCACAATCTTTCTCTATCGGAATCTTTCTCTGTTACAACCTTTTCCATCTATATCACACTTGCTCTCTCTATTACAAGCTTTTCCCTCTATCAGAATCGTTCTCCTTACCACACTCTCTCTCTATTCCAATCCTTCTAACACACTTTCTCTCTCTATCGCTTTCCTTCTGTCACCCAATTTTCCTCCTCACATTTCTTCTTTATCGCAATTTTTCTGCTTTTCTCTATACTCTCTCTATCAGAATCGTTCTCTTTCTGTCTACCACACATTCTCTCTCTATTACAACCTTTTCTGTCTCTATCACAATCTCTCTTTCACACTTTCTCTCTCTACATTCCAATCTCCCTATCACACTTTCTCACTCTTTCGTACTTTACCTCTGTATATTACAATCTTTCTCTTCTTTATCACACTTTCTCTCTATCGCAATCTTTCTCACTATTGCAATCTTTCTTCTCTCTTTCACACTTTCCCTCTATTCCAAACTTTCTCTTCTCTATCACACTTTCTATCAGAATCATTCTCCTCTCTATTACAACCTTTTCCGTTTCTGTCACACTTTCTCCCTCTATTACATACTTTTCCCTTTCTACCAGAATCTTTCTCCTTTCTGTTGCAATCTTCTGTGTTGCAATCTTTCTCCATTCTATCATACTTTGTGTCTCTATTCCAATCCTTCTAACACACTTTCTCACTCTCTCGCCCAATTTTCCTCCTCTCTCACATTTCTTCTTTATCGCAATTTTTCTGCTTCTCTATACATTCTATCACAATCCTTTTACTTATTTTTAACACACATTCTCTCTCTTTCTATCAGTTTTTCTCTCTCTATTGCAATCTTTCTCCTCTCTATTCCAATCTTTATAGCACTTTCTCTCTATTGCAATCCTGCTCCTCTCGATCACAATTTCCCTCTCTATTCCAAACTCTCTCTTCTATATCACACTTTCTATTTTAATCTCTCTCCTCTCTATCACGGTTTCCATCAGGAACTTTCTCCTCTCTATTACAACCTTTTCCGTCTCTCTCACACTTTCTCTCTCTATTACATACTTTTCCCTCTCTATCACTCTTTCTATCAGAGTCTTTCTCCTTTCTGTCACACTTACTCTCTATTGCAATCTTCTCTCTCACACTTTGTCTCTATTGCAATCTTTCTCCTTCTCTCAATCAGTTTCACTCTATTACAATCTTTGCCCTCTCTATCACTCTCTCTTACAACCGTCTCTGTCAACTTTCTCTCTATCACACTTTCACTCTCTAATGCAATCTTTCTCCTCTCCATCATACTTTGTCCTCTCTCTCACTCTTATCAGAATCGTTCGCCTTCTCTCTATTACAACCTTTTCCGCCTCTGTCGCACTTTCTGTGTATCACAGTATTTCTGCTTCTTTCTAACACACTTGCTCTCTCTCTATTGCAATCTTTGTCCTCTCTATTATAGTCTTTTCCCTTTTAACACTTTCTCCCCCTCTCACACTATCGTACTTTGCCTCGGTATATTACAATCTTTATCCTCTTTATCACACTTTCTCTCTATCGCAATCTTTCTCCTGTCTATTACACTTTCTCTCTATTGCAATCTTTCTCGTCTCTAGCACAATCTTTCTTCTCTCTTTCACACTTCCTCTCTATTCCAAACTTTCTCTTCTATCACACTTTTTATTTTAATCTCTCTCCTCTCTATTACAACCTTTTCCGTCTCTGTCACACTTTCTCTCTCTATTACATACTTTTCTCTTTCTCCTTCTTTCTGTTACACTTACTCTCTATTGCAATCTTCTCTGTCACACTTTGTCTCTATTGCAATCTTTCTCCACTCAATCAGTTTCTCTGTATTGCAATCTTTCTCCTCTGTCACACTTTCTCTCTATTGCAATCATTCTCCACTCTATCATACTTTGTCTTTTTCTATTCCAATCCTTCTAACACACTTTCTCACTCTGTCGCTCTCCTTCTCTCGCCCAATTTTCCTCCTCTCTCACATTTCTTCATTATCTCAATTTTTCTGCTTCTCTCTATTATACTTTCTATCACAATCCTACTTATTCTCTCTCTTTCAGACTCGTTCTCTTTCTATCACACTTTCTCTCTCTATCACAA